AAAAAAAAAAAAAAAGAAAGAAAGAAAGAAAAAGAAAACAAAGCAGTCAGAGATTTTTTTTTTTCCTCAGTGACAAGCTAATTGCCACAGAATTCTTTATTCTCAGGTGTGTAAAAAACCTAAATATATGAATGAAAATAGTTCTTCTCTGAACGCATATGGAAACCATGAATGAAAACTATCCCCTGGGTACTGGACACAATGTAACTATAAAATAATGAGGTTAATTTATATGTTGCAAGAATAGTCTTTCTAAAAAATCAAATTCAACTTGGAATTTTTAAATTAATGTAAGGTCTATTTAGTCAGGCCAGACCTGCTCGTTGTTAGAATCAATCAGCTCTTTTGCTATTATCTTAACCCAGAACTTATTTTAGGAATAAGACTGTTCTTTGAAGGACTGGAGAAAAATTAACTTATCCCTACGGAGGCTTTTTTTTTTTTTTTTTTTTTTTTTGCGCTAAACATACCATTGCCTGACATGCAGAGTGCCTGTAGTAAGTTAAAAACTTTTTCTACACGATAAGGGAGGAATAGGGGAAGGGTTTAGTCATTGGTAATTCACCTCGATATCAATTAAGGGGCTTCTTTCCCCACACTTACAGACTCCGCAGTCGCTGAAGCAGTCACACATGCTTGTCTGCCAGTCGGAGTTCTGGGGTGCCATACCGACTCCAGGTTGGGTCACAACGACCACTGGCGCCTGAGATTGCATTTTCAGTGCTGGGTCTTAAAAGCAGTGGACTGAAAAGTCAAAGAGTGACGTTAGAGATCTCGAGGTTGCTCTTGAAAGCCCACGTTAGGGCAGGATGCTGAGGCAGTGTAGAGGAAGTTGCTTTATTTGAAGAACAGAATTTCTGTCTCCACCCCTCACAAGATAGAGGCCGTGGAGGTGGGAGGAAGGAATTCACCGAACTGGGCCGGGCGCGGTGACTCACGTCTGTAATCCCGGCCGGCCGAGGTGGACGGATCATTTGAGGTCAGGAATTCGAGACCAGCCTAGCCAGTATGGCGAAACCCCGTCTCTACTAAAAATGCAAAAAATTAACCAGGCTTGGTGGCGTGTGCCTGTAATTCCAGCTACTCGGGAGGCTGGGGCAGGAGAATCGCTTGAACCCGGAAGGTGGAGGTTACATTAAGCCGAGGTCATACTTCTGCACTCCAGCCTCGGAGACAGAGTGAGACTCCATCTCAACAAACCCCCCAAAAACAAAAACCACAGAATTCTCTGAACTGGGAAGGTGAACAGTTGCTTCTCGTGGGGTAAGAGAGCGGAACAGTGTTGCTCATGTACTGTTTTTAGGCAGGTACCTGGTATCCACACAGGCAGCGAAACAAATGAGCAACCTGTGATCGTGGCCGAAAGTAGTGAATTATGGAAAATAACATTCTCTAAAATGGCATCATCCTAAACTTTTTTGTATGTCCCCCCACTTCTTGCTCCTAATTTATTATTTCTTTTTGGACTGATTTCCTATGAGCAACCATTTCCAGTCTTCCTACTTCCTGACTTGTCCTTCACTTCATATTTACTGGGAGCCTGCAATCCTGTGTCAGCGCTGGCCTGACGGACGCTGCTGTGTGGTACGGGCAGTTTATTTAAGAAGTACATTTGGTAAGGTTACTCCTCATTTCTCTACAGTGTAGGGTCATGGAACATGAATTAGATTAGGAGTGAGAGAGTCTTTGCCCAAGTCTTAGTTTCTGAAACTGTGATCTTAGACTCATCATTTAACTAGTCATTTAAATGTCCACTTATTAATCTGTAAAATGAGGTTTCTGACCTACCCACCTTACAGGCTCATTCTAAAGAATTTGTCTTTAAATAAAAATACCATGAACTGTATTCAGAAGAGCTGAAGCTTATTTTAAATGTATTAGATGTGCCCTTCCATATACATTAAAGTGGTTATGGCTTCTGCTTGATTTTTTTTTTTAATGTACCATAATAGCCGTTCGCTGCTTTTTTACACTGGAAGAGTGAGGCGGACCCATCTGTGGATCCCACAGCAAACAAGATTTTCTGCAAAAGAAGTTTCCAGTAAGTGAACAAAAAACCGGAGGGGTCGGCTGAGCCGATCATTCAGGGCGTGCATGATCCGCGGGTGTGTGTGTGGCGGCGGAGGAGTCCCAGTCTAGGGGCAGATACGTCGGGTGATGGACTAGGCGAACGTGTGTCTGGCTGCCGCTCTCTTCCGGCCTCTTCCAGGGAGGAGGATCCGGGAGGCGGAGAGCCCCCCTGGCTCCTCCCCAGTTGCAGGGACTGGTCTGAAGCAGGGGCTTCAGGAGGCGGGGAGTGGGTGGGTGGGCTTCTTACCTTCTCCGCCCGCTCTGCACTCGAGAAGGGGACTGTGAGCGGCAGCTGCGCTTGGGGCTCTTCGATCACCACCCCCCGCACTACGTCTCCCGCCAGAGCCGCTCTGGGACCCCTGGGTCTCCTCTGCTGGGACCAGACCTGCCTGCCGGTGAATTCTTAGAGCAGCCCGCGCAGAATCCATCCCAAGGAGACCGCCCATTGTTGCTGGCGCAATCAGGGAACGGCGCCTGCGGATGGCTGCCCTCTGGGGACCACTCGCCCGGGCGGCGCGCCGCTGGGGACTCGGCGTGAACCCGGCAGCGGGCGCGCGGTCTCGGAGCCCAGCCCCACCTGCAGGCGCCAGGAGCCGCAGCGCTGGGCAGGGCTGGCACCGCTCCCTCTCGGGCACCCGCCACTCTGTCGCTCCGGGCGCCCAGGCTCACCGGGCGTTTGTTTCTAAATTGTAAAAAGTTTTTATCAGATGGTATGGGCTGAGCAACGCTGGGATCGGAAAGTAAGACAAGAAACTATCACCCACCCTCTCCCCCGCCCGCTGATTTGAATGCTTATTAGATGGACCCTGGATTCTAGTCCTGCTGTACATGCCCACAATGTAAGAGGAAGCAGTCACAACCCTCTAGACACACTCATGCCGCCAATCTCATGAAATAAGAGGTAAGGACCTTGCAATGATTCCGTTTTCGTCACTCACCCCTTTTACAATAATTAGCTTGGCTTTGGGAAAAGTAAGTCCCAAATCCCCAACACTGAGGGGTAAGCTCCACAAAGGCAGGGAATTTTGTGGGTCAAGTTCACCGAGGTTTCTCAAAACCTTAGCTCGGAACCTGGTACACAGGAGGAGCTCACTAGCGGCCCCGTCACCACGCTCTCTGCTTCCCGACTGGCTGAGGCCATGCGTGATGCAGGCTCCAGATGGTGCACAGCAAACAAGGGCCAGAGCCCAGCCCTGAAAACGCAAACAAGGCTAATGTTTCACCTGACTCTTCAGACCTCTACAGATAGGGCCCAGATCTTCCCTAAATCCCAACTCCAGTACTAACATGGTCAAAACCATATTTTTGGGTGATGGCTTCCCACATTTGGAATCTTGGGGGAAGAAGCATTACAGGAAATGCTAGAGAATATGTATTCTAATTTCTTATGAATTTCATCTTAATTATCAAATACCAAAAAAAATATGAAATGCTAATTATCAGTAATGTCAAGTGGTTATCCCTAGGTGATTGGCTGATAGACTTTTTTGTTGTTGTTTTGTGATAAGGTCTCTCTATTGCCCAGGCAGGAGTGCAATGGCATGATCGTAATTCACTGCAGCCTGGAACTCCTGGGCTCAAGTGATCCCCCCACCTCAGCCTCCTGAGTAGCTGAGATTACAGGCGTACACCACCATGCCTGGCTAATTTGTTTTCCTTTTCTGTAGAGATGGGGTCTCACTATGTTGCCCAGGCTGACCTTGAGCTCCTGGCCTCAAGTGATCTTCCTGCCTTGGCCTCCCAAAACACTGAATTACAGGTGTAAGCCACCACCCATGGCCGATAATTTTTTTTATACTTAGCATTTATTTCTTTTACAAGCAAAACAAGAAATATCCTTTTCAGAAACGAAAAGCAAATCCAGTGACTAGAAAAAAAAAAAATTTAAGGGGGCATACCAAGCCAGGTACGGTGGCTTATGCCTGTAATCCTAGCACTTTGGGAGGCCGAG